AAGTGCACCTTTTAAATTCTAAAGAGTAGATTCTTCTAAAGAGTAGATGAATGTTTTATATTTAAAATACAAGGATCTGGGAGCTTGATTAGACCTAAATTCTCAGGTGAACATAAAGTTCATCAGTCTAGAGAGATCTGGAAATTAGATCAGATCTCTACTTTCTTGTCCAACATTTCAAGGAGAAAAAGAAAATCTCAGTAATCCAGATTGAAATGCAGTTAAACTAGTAAATAAAAAAGAAACTACAAATGCACAATGTTCACAGCACAACATTCATGCATGCTTATGACATCTTAACAGTTAAGTGTATTCTTAAGACTTACAGGTACAATTGCATATGCTAAATTTAAGCCCTTTACTGGTACAAATGCTGGCTATTTAAGAGAGCTGCTACTGTCATCATATTCTATCAGTAGCTGGGAAAAAAAAAAGAGTTATTTACAGATTTCAACTTGTGGTAGATGTTAGGAATGACAAAAACTTTGTGAATCTTATATCTCTGGAGTCCCTTGATCTTAAAGAACGATGTTAGTCCTACCTGTTTGTCTAGGTTTGACCTGAAGAGTTAAACTAGTATTAATACTGCATTATTAGAGAAAAATGATTCATTTACTAGTGCAAAACCACTGTGCTCCGTGTGGACCAGATAAATAGTTCATTCAGCTTGAGAAGGCTCAGATTAGAACAAACACTAAAAGTACTGGATCTTTCTCTGTAAATATCTTCTGAGAAATCAACAACATGAAAACACACATTCCATCACATAATTTCATTGTGATTTTGGCTGACCTCTTTATTTTAGATAATCTTATTTTTAGTGCATGTGTTTCGAGTTTGGTCACAACTCATAAAAATAATTATTAAATCAGGAACTTAATGGGAGGTTTTTATGGGTTTGCAACTGACTCATAAATGAATCATCCAGCTTCAGTGCCATTGATTTTTATAACATCTTGCATAATAGAATCCTAATTGCACTTATAAGATTTCTAATACTTTACATAAATAATAGCACATGAAGCTCTTATTCTCCATTTTTTTCAGATCCTTCCTCAAAAACTTATCTCTGCTATGGTGCCCAAAAAGTCAGTAAAGACTGACAGTTGTTTAAGTCAATGCTTTTCTCCTCTCAGTACAATTCGGTTTTTGCGTGTGTTACGATAAAACACATTTTGTTATTGAACTTGCAATTGTATTACTATGTACTAGGTAAAGCTAGGTAAAGCTCGGTTGGCAAATGTGTGGGAATCCTCAAACAATACAAAGTAACATCAAACCAGCAAAAGCAAAGTCCTGCACAAGACAGGTTCTTAGCTAACTGGTTTAGAATAGGACAAGGCTTTGGACACTAAAGGACGAACAAGGGCTAGAGACAGTTTCCTTGTGTTTGTGTGAAAGTGGCTTACATTAATTTCACAGAAGTCAGATGGAACAGGACTGAAGACTGCCCATGGCCTAATTCTTTGTACATTGTAGTTGTAATGCGTAAAGCAATAGTATTTCCAGCTGTCACCTGAACTACGAAAAATAGAAAAGTTAACTTTCTTCCAGTATGTCAAGGCTTTATTAGAACTACTTTAACAATAATTGTTAAAATTCGAAGGAAACAAAATATTTCATTCCAAGACAAAGTAATAGAAGCCAGACAAAATGACTCAGTCTGCTTAAAACAAGGCATTTCCTCTGGAATTTGTTGCTTGATATTTGGTCCTGTTTATTATTCTATATAATACTCTCTCTGAAAGAGGAGCTGTTTGTCAGGAAAACTTTGGCTAATAAAACCAAAATATTTCAGCTCAACAATGATAGTATCGTTTAGGAAGGTGAATATAAAACCAGCAAAGAGTAAGCTAAACAATTAACATAGTGAGGGAAAGTATGTGGGAATGGGGGATAACAGAAATCCGATTTAAGCCAAATTAGTGAGAAACACCTATAAAACTGTCATAGGAAGGAATTTTGCAGTCCATGCATGGTAACACAATAAGGACATTTTCTTTCATGGCATAGTTTGAGTCATACCACTGACTATTTTCAAACTTGCGCTCACATGGAATTTCATATAAGTAAATTAGCTCAATTTACCCAAAGGTATGATTTCTGAAAGACTACTTAAACCACACTTTTAAGTGAATTAAGCTAAATCAAATTAAGGTCACTTAAAATCTGAAAGAGGGTGGCACAAGATGTACCCATGCAGTCCAACTGATCCTTCCTGAAATACTGATTTAGATACAAAATGTCCCCGCTAGACAAAATTCAGCAATTTTAGTTAAGAGATGCAAGCATCACCAAGATTCCCAGCGTAAACAGTGACCCTAAAGTGTCCTCCATAGGTTTGCCCTAAAGTAAGACCTGCACCTCTGATAATTTACCAAGGGTTTGTTACAGAGAAAAATGCTTTTTTCATTATCATTATTTCAGCTGGGTGCAAAAGAACATTAAATCCCTGATATATTTGCCCCTCTTGAGGCAGCAGATGTTTTCCAGTGACCCAGGAAAGGCTTCCCAATTTGTTAAAATGCTCTCGTCTATGGATCTAAAATCAATATGGAAAAGAAAATTCAGTGCCTATGGTCAGGCTGGCAGCATTTCTCCCTTTTCAAGTCATGAGCATGAGAGAACAGGTGAGTGCTGCAGCTGATATATGACCTAATCCTGGCTCTGCCAAGTCCAGAAGAGAAATAATAGTAAACAGGGAAGTCTATAAATGGCTCCAGAAACAACATCTTGGTTTTATATAGTTTTCTTTGAGCTGTTAACAGTCAGGCGCCACTACTACTGAAACTTATCGTTATTAAAACCACAAATGGGCTCAGTGTCCAAAAGGATTCCCTTAGCTGGCTTAAAGGAAATAACAAAGTCCAACCCATAGAGAACAAACAGGAACAAGACTAAAATAAGTAAATGCCCACACAGAGAGATACTAGAATGTAATAGTTAAAATTGGACTTTAAAGGCCTCTTGCAAATGAGTGCTCCAGATACCGATCAAGGATAAACTGTGGTTTACACAACAAAAAAAAAACAGTGCCCAACCTGTAGAAGGCTCCCACCAGCCCAGCTGACCAACAGTATGAGAGGGGAAAGCTTTTACATTTGGCTTTTGAACGTCAGTGAAACAGCCTGGCTGAGGAATAAAGGACTTCTTGTGAAAAACAAAGACCTTGAGCTTACTTTTAAAAGTGCAGGAACTGTGCTCCTGAACCTAATGATCACAGGGGGTCTATCAAATTCCCTTTCTCCTCTCCAACAGTGGCCTAGAACCAGACACCTCACTGAGAAGTGCCAGAAACCCTGAAACAAGCAGTTATGGAATAGACATCATGTTAGGAAAAATGTTTTCCAAAACCGCATTAGTCAGATGAGTGGCTTCACTGTGAACTGGGACAGTTCATAATTCTACAGATGCTGTGCTCTTTTTCCAATATGCTTTCATATGTGACAACATAATCCTGTGTTTTCTCATTCTGCTTGAAAGTATCTACTTCCTTTCTAAATTCGGCTAAATTCCTGGCCTCGAAAGTACGTCGTGTCCATGTATTCTACAATCTAATTGTATCTGTTATGAAAAATCCCCATCTTTAAATTTATAGCCTACACCCAAATGTGTGAACAACAAAACTGAATAAATAGGATGTTTTAATGAGCTTCATTTGTAATAAGCACAAATGATTTTAGGTAGCATCCTTTTACATGTTATGTCTATCCTCTTTAAGCCAATCTTAATTTTTCCAATCGTTCTTCACACTGGAGTATTTCACTGTCTGCTCCCTAAATAATTCTCTCTGCCCATCTTTGAAATATTTATATCTAAGCCATATCCTTTTAAAGACAAAGCAAGCCAAAGACAGCTATTTACAGCACATAACTACGGGGTTATGTATGGGTAAGTTATAACACCCTATTTGGCCTTTTTAACTGTGGCTGTCCTTTAAGAATAGATTGAGTTGTTGATAGTCATGCTCAGGTCTTTCCTACAGTGGAATAAGGGCAGGTTATGTGTATGCACAAGTGGTTTATTTAATTTCCCCTCTTTGGCATTTGTCAGTAAAAGCACAGACAACACTTCCAGGCTTTTCTTTAACTCCTGGGATTACATCCTGGGCTGGAATTTTTCTAACAGTGATACAAGAAACCGTGAAGTAATCTGGAAATTTTAGCCCCATCAGCTTCTGGGAACAGGAGCCCACAGGGCTGCCTCCAGCCATGTGAAGAGCTCTGCTTCTCCTGCATCCCTGGGATAAGGACCATTCCCAGAAAAGATAAGAGCGAGCCTGTGCCTCGGGACTTTTCTGCTAGTTCCTACTTTCCTGTGAAGGAAGATTCCTGATGCTCCTCATCTCCCTCTCCCGAGGACAAGGGCTGCAAAAAAAGCAAGAGTGGTGTGGATAGAACACAGCTGTAAAGGACCTTCCTGGTCTTGCCGTCCAGTCCCTGCTCTCTGGAATAAGAATGTTACACAAGTGCCCTTCATTAACTTAACTACCACTCACCTTCAAATGATGGTCTTTCCCCCACAGCTGTAGTCCCAGCCATCCCTGGCTTTAGGCCCCTTTTCATTTCCAACCTAGATCTCACCAGAATGACTTTACACATGCACCTCCTTGTGCCGTTTTGCCTGTTTGGCTTCACTAGCTCCTCTCCCTAAGGTGTCCCTTAGTCCCGGAGCATGCTGTCCATTGCCCCTCCTCACAGTTAGACCAACATATTGCCCTTAGCCTCTTCCTCAAGGCCAGGCTTCCATATTGCCCATGACCCCTTCCTTATGGCCAGGCTGCCATGTCACCATGCACCCCCGGAGACCACAAGGTACCTCACGACCTTCCACCCTTGCCGCAGCCCCTGACCTGTGCAGACTGCCCACGCTAGCGGGGTGAGGTGAGGCCGCTGGCCCTCGCTCAACGGTGGTGAGGCAGGGAAAGAGCTAAGGCAGGGCTATGGAGCCTGCCCGGGCTGTTTTGGGCGCGGAACTCTGTCGGCGAGGGGGCGTGTTCCCAGCCGGGGCGAGCGGCCGAGCAGCGCCGGGAGCGTCGGGCGCCTTGGAAACGGACGGAAGCTGGGAGGGAGCGGCAGCTGCGGCAGGAGGATGCTGAGCCCCGAGCGGCTCTCGCTGCCGGGGCCTGAGTACCTGGGTGAGGAGCGGGGCGGCAAGGCAGACCCCGAGGGCCCCGTCCCCTGGCTGTGCTGCGGCCCGGCATGGGGAGGGTATGTGGTGGGGCCGGGGGTGCCTTCGGCCTGGCTGCAGGCCCGTGGGGTGCCCCTCAGCTGGGCTTCGGCGGGCCGGGTCGGGCTGACTCCGTGTCTGCGTTCTCGGCTCGGGAGGGGGAAACACCGGGGGGGTACAGGTCGGTGTTACAGAGCGCTGCTTCTTCGGGTGATCCCTTGAGGTGGCGGGGCTGCGGGGCCCTCGCGGGCACAGGGAGCTCCCTGTCGTGACCGCCAAGGCTACCGCGGTCTCCTCCCCTGGCTCATCTGCACGGTGTGAGTGGGGGCAAGCAACGTCCAGCGGCTCTATGGCAGACTGTGACCTCATTTAGCCCGTTATCAACCTGCTTTGCTGACAGATCTATGTGAGAAACCTTAGTTTATGCTCATTTCCCAGTGTTGGAAAGAGTGCGCTTCTTATGTTGGGAGATGGTTTGAATGTCACCTTTTCATCTGAAATAAAGCAATATTGATAATGTTTCCCACATAAAATGGAAATCTTCTAGTTTATGAAGCAGGCACTCTTTTACAGCCTGCATCCTTTTAAGTTGTCTCTAACAGTCTGTGTTATTGCTTGATGTTCCAGGAAACTAAGGAACAAAGTGATTCAGTGTTCATAGGTCAAATAGAAATAATTAGGATGGAATAAAGTCAATATGACTTCATTTAATTGCTAAAGAGGAGATGAATTACAAGTAGTAAGCATTTGGAATGTGTTCGAGACAGTATTTTTGAAGTGAAAGTCTTCAGCCATTACTTTTTAGGCCCAAGAGGCTGTTTGGTAATAACCATTTCAAAGGTATATAGTTTACCATGGTTTTCGTGTACAAGGATAGGTCAGAAATAGCATGGATTGTTTTGTGCTACTTGTTCCACCGTGATTTTGCCATCTCTTATAAGTCAAAATTGGCATAAGACTAGAGAAACGTTGCTGGCTTCCAGTAAATGGAAAACTTGTCTTGCAGGGAGGAGGCTAAAAGAGCCTTGTTTGTTTTGCCTAGCAATAGTGTTAATGAGGAGGCATCTGACTTAGTTCAAAGCACATCATAGTACTAAAGAAAGATGACTTATTAGCAGAGGAGTGATCTAATTTGTCTTAGAGTAGAATCTCTTTATGCTCTTGCTGCTAGGCTTCTGTTAGGGTATTTTGTGCCTACCTACATAACTGCAATGCTAGCCTGTGTTAAAGAAACTCAGGGAAGAAATAAGTGTTTAGTGCTCAGTTTGCGGTCTGTTTGGGGTGATCCTCAGGACGCTCGCTTTGCTGAAGTTCTTATTGCTGATTTCAGTTCTGGAGCTGGTTCAGGTATTTGAGAACAGTATCACAGTGTGCCATGTAGATACACCCTTTGGTTTTGTGCTAATCTATCACACTGCATCAGCATTTTCAACCTACACATTAACAGAGAGACTCGTAACTTTTCCAGAGTTGCTCTAGGCTGAAACTTGCAAAACAAGCCAATTATGTTTTAGGTTCATTTTATTGTTTTTAATGAAATAGGCACTTTTACTTGTGTGAAACTTGTTGGTAAGGATTCAATCTCCCAAAACAACTTAGGAAGCACACTAAAAATTGTTGAAGTGTAAAAATAAACAAGTTTTCTGTTTCACATTTGAAGTTGAGAACTGAGACTTCTAAGAGATGTGTGAGACTGTTGGGTGCAAGCAGCTGTATTGGCCTGCTTAAAGTAGGCCAGTCTGATCTACAATTCCCTTTTCATTTTGTAAAACCTTTTAAATTATTCTAACACTGGGGTCAGAAGAAGACACACGTGTAAGTATGTCAGATTGAGCCATAACTTGTACAAGAGCCGTTTCTATTCATCACTTAGTATGTCCTTCTCTTTAGGTTGCAATATCTGTGGTCCATTAGAGGGGGAAAGGTGTCTGGTACATGATGGTATCTTTATTAGCTTTAAATGTTACCAATAACAATGGTTTTGTCTTAGTGAGATTTTGTAGCTTACCAAACCGCTCACATGTCCTACTGGATTGTGTATTAGCAGTAGGAAAGTGGTTAAAAAACAACCAACCAAACAACCTCCCCACCAAAAAAACAACTCTCCTCCCCTCCAGTAAATCCACTTCTCCACACATTCTCGTAATCATAGAATCATAGCATCAACCAGGTTGGAAAGCACCTTTAAGGTCATCAAGTCCAAACCAGGACTGCCAAGCCCACCACTAAACCATGTTACTGAGGGAATAGGATGCTTTTATGTTTTCTACATTAATCTGGCATTCTGAAATGACCGTTCTTTGGGTTTCTTCTGTTGCATGCCTCAGAGTCTCATCAACGTAGTTGTGTGATATGGGGTTGTAAGCAATTGTAACAAGTATTCACTCTCTGCAACTTAATTCTGAAGTTGTGCTGCCCGAGGCTGCCACTTAAGGTATTCTCTGAGGCTCCCAGATCAGATGGCGCTGTCTTTCCTGACCTGCAATGTGCAAGCTTCACCTAACCTCTTTTTTCCCTTTTCCTTTTTCAATATCAAAGCCAGGCCAATAAATAAAATAAGCGGCCAAAATAATATTCCATACTACTTGCCACATTACTTTTTTTTTTTCTATTTGAGATGATTCATCCACATCCAACTCTTCAACATCCCAGTTGTGAGTTAAAACAGAGGTGAACAGGGAGAAAATTAAGTATTTCCTTAAGATGAAAAATGATTGCAAAGCTTTGGTACAGCAGAGTTCTTGGAAAATAAAAATCAGGGCAGCACATCTCATGCCACAATGATTGTGAAGCTGTAAGTAGGAGAAAAGAGATGATTGATGCTCAGTGAATAGGAAAGGAGATGAGGTCTGTGGAGTTGGCAGAAAGGCTACAATGAAGATGTTGTAACAAGCAGGACATTTTAAGCAGTATTTGCACTGAATAAACAACGTTTAGTGTTTGGGGATAGTGATGAAAATGTGCTTCTCATTTGATGGATGAGACTGGAACTACAGTAGGCAAATGAGGTCTATTTGAGGCACTTTTCCATGCTTTCCTCATTATGGTTTAATAACTGGTGATTGCTCAGTTATTTATAGCAGGCAATGGAGCATTTAGTGTATTGTTCTGCTCATGCCGCTGTCTTGTGAAGCTTCACGTTGTGTGCCCTCCCCCTGTTTCTTGTGGAGAAAAAGCAGTAGATTTTTATGAATTTCTGAACTTTATTTTTCTCTGGATTCTCCTCCCTTCTACTCCTCTACTTCAAATCCAGGATGTGCTTTCTTTTCTTCCTTTGCCAATATAAGACATGTAAGAACACAAATGCTGTTAGGGAAGTGCCTTATCAGGAAAGCATGAGGCTATTAAGTGCCAGAAGCATGGTCATGTTTCCTCGTCTCTCTCATAAGAGGTCTCAGGCTTCATGATTAGAAGGAACATTCGTGGTATTGGTGCTTTTACAAAACTGAGTAGCTCCCAGCAGAGAACTTCAGTTGGGCTTGGTCAGCCTGGAGAAGAGAAGGGTCTGGAAAGACCTTTGAGCAGCTTCCAGTACCTAAAGGAAGTCCACAAAAAATCTGGAGGTGATCTTTTTACAAGGGCATGTAGTGATAGGACAAAGGGGAATGGCTTTAAACCAATTTAGATTAGATATTAGTAAGAAGCTCTTCCCTGTGAGTGTGCTGAGGCTCTGGTGCAGGGTGCCCAGAGAAGCTGTGGCTGCCCCATCCCTGGCAGTGTTCAAGGCCAGGTTGGACACGGGCTTCGAGTGACCTGCTCTAGTGGAAGGTGTCCCTGCCCATGGCAGGGGGTTGGAACTGGGTGCACTTTAAGCTCCTTTCCAACCCATACCATTCTATGATTTTATGATTAAGTTATGTACAGACTTTGCAGATACTGAGGCTTTACTCTTCGTCAGAGCAGCCTTAAGAAATACTGAGTTGGAGAATCCAAGTGCAATCATTTTCTTTAACAGCATAATCAGTGTATAGGTTGTGTTGTTATCCAGACATCTCAGCTGACAGTCTCCTGTTAGTCAGATGCTTTATGAGCATCAGTGAGGCACTCTGGCTGAAATAGTCTGGTCTTACAAAGAGAAGATGAAGACTTTTATTTATATATTTTTAATTATTCCTTGCTCCGTTGTTTAGATAGGGGAACTATAATGTGAAAGATGAATGACTTCCCCACTGATGTGTAATAGTTTGCTTGTTGAAATGTCAGTTAAGTTTGAATCTTCTTAGAGTCAGGTTTTTTTTCTCCAGAAGATGGAGGTTTTATCCCTAAACCTATCCCTAGCCCTACAAGGCTTCCACCTTAACTGCAGAAGTAACAGGTGAAATCCAAGAGAAATCTTGAGAATACAGAGTTCTCATTTGAGATAATACAAAATACAGTATAGTTATGCTGTGTAGCCACTTGTCAGTATGTTCTTGAGGAACAGGACATTTCATAGAATCATAGAATGGTTTGAGTTGGAAAGGACCTTAAGATCCTCTAGTTCCAACTCCCTGCCATGGGCAGGGACACCTCACACTAGATGAGGTTGCTCCAAACCCTGTCCAACCTGGCCTTGAACACCACCAGAGATGGATCATTCCCAACTTCCCTGGGCAACCCATTCCAGTGCCTCACCACCCTAACAGGAAAGAACTTCTTCCTTATATCCAACCTGAACTTCCCCTGTTTAAGTTTAAACCCGTTCTCCCTCGTCCTATCACTACAGTCCCTGATGAAGAGTCCCTCTCCGGCATCTGTGTAGGCCCTTTCAGATGCTGAAGGCTGCTCTGAGGTCTCCACGCAGCCTTCTCTTCCCAGGCTGAATAGACCCAACTTTCTCAGCCTCTCTTCATATGGGAGGTGCTCCAGTCCCCTGATCATCCTCATGGCCTCCTCTGGACTTGTTCCAACAGTTCCATGTCCTTTTTATGTTGAGGACATATGTCTCACATCATAGCGTTACCTCTGGTATCACAATGTCTCCTTCTA